GACATCTATATGAAGAAAGTTATGATAATACACTGCAGAATTTATGCTATTGGTTTATTTAGGGAAGTCAAATATATGCTCGAGCTTGAGTTTTATGCAGTGTTTCTAATGACAGGTGTATCAAATAGAATCAAAATGTACAGAACATTTGCTGCCTCCAATATAGAAACTGTTTTGTACTTTGTTTAGAAAAATAAAGTGTACATTGTTACACTTTGCCGAACAAAATAACACATTAATTTCAAAATACTTAAATTTATTTTTAAAGGAAAAAAAACGCATCTGGTTTACTCAGTTTATTTTGGAATACGTTACTTCTACCTTTTAGTTTCTCTTCGAACATATTATGAGAGAAAGAACAAAACTATATATCTTTCACTTATCAATAGTTTTTCATTATCAATAAGTTTTTTCTTCAACTGATAGAAGATGAACTTTTCTTCCTTTTTTTTTCAATACATTATTTAAAACATATCTTTTTTTGTACACTTCTATACACTTTACTTGTAAAAGAAAAGTGTACAGGAATATTTTGTTTTGGATTCCCATTAGAAATGCTTATTTCGTACCATTGATTGATTACTATCCATTTTTATTATCATTTGAGTTCATCTGCAGCACGATAAAATATAATGTCTCAATCAATTGAAGGACAATGAATAGCTTTAAATGGATTAATTCAAAAAATGTTACAAAAAGAATATTCAAGACATACAGAAGGTTCGATATTCATCAAAAGAAAAAATTCAGTGTAGCAAAAATACTATTATTTTATAAACTTGTATCTTTTATACCTTTGAATCATCTTCTAATCTTTTCTGATATTCCAAATGTAGCCTCCATGAAAAATTAATGTTCAATTGTCTTTCATGTTTAACATATCATTCCCGTTTTTCAAAAGAAACAGAAGTGGACCAGACTCGATGGCACAGACCCGAGTGCACTCGAATGATTCTGGCCAATGTCCAAATATTCGCTTGAAAGAGTTTGACCTCAATGAGACTAGAGTCGGCTTTCAAAGCAACGAGAACAGATACTGTACTTTAATCTTAGTCGAAAAGGCCGAGAAGCCATAACCCAGTCAGACAAAAATTTCGAAAAACGCGTTTAAACGCACAATCGGGAACCGCGACTATGATCCATTCACGCTCATTAAAAAAACGCACGAAAACGCGTTTATTGTAACTTTCTGGGCGTCAAAACGGCAGAAATTCCAGTTTTTGAGCGTTAAAACGCACTATTATTCTAGAACTTAAAAACAATACGTTTTAACGCTCAAAAACTAGAATTTTCGTCGTTTTGACGCCCAAAAAGTTACAAAAAACGCCAATAAACGCGTTTTCGTGCGTTTTTTTAATGAGCGTGAATGGATCACAGTCGCGGTTCCCGATTGTGCGTTTAAACGCGTTTTTCGAAATTTTTGTCTGACTGGGAACTTCACAGATAAACATATGTTCCCTATATTAACGTTGCCCACACACATTCCATGTTTGCATCGACTAGAGAACAATTTAGTGTTGTCAAAATTACACTATTATTCAGCATGATGCATATTTCCAAAGAGCGAAGCCAGTTACAATATGATTCATAGCAAGTAGATAACGTATGTTTCTAAATATACACAAATTCCTCTCTAGTGTGAAGTGGCCACCATACTCACATTTTCATTTCATCTCATTAAGTTCACAAACATACTTCGATGTGTCAAAATAAAATTACACTTGTTTGTTTTTTGATGAAAGATGTTGCTCTGGCAGGTCAGTGTTACCACTAACCCGCAAGTTTTCATCATTGCAACATGGATATGATCAGATTTGATCATTTATCCCTTGATAACTTGTAATAAGCGACTAAATTAAAGATTATGTGGAGCACGGCATCTTATTTGTTCCAACACATATCATGTTGATGAAAGTAGAAAGAAAAGAGAAAAGTGTAAGCATACGCCAGATGTCGCAATCGACTTAGTCTTCCGAAAAATTGCTTATCACTATTTACCAAGAGGTAAATGATCAAATACATGTTGCAATGACGAAAACGTGCGGATCGATGGTAACATTGACCTGCCAGAGCAACTCTTTTCGGTAGAACACATCGATACAAAGTTAATATGTGGGGAAAATTCTATTTTTTTCAAACGAGATTGAAGCAGTCACAATGACTGTACTTGCATCAACAAGAATAGCTATTTCTATAAATACATGACATCATATGACTGCCTTCTAGTGAAACAGTGTTGCTCTGGCAGGCTAGCGTTACCACTTGGCAGCACATTTTCGTCGTCGCAACATGTATTGGATGATTTACCTCTTGATAAGCTGTATAAAGCATTTTTTTTCTATCAGTATCTGGTGCACAACATGATGTCTGTCCTTACTCTTTGCACATTCTATTCTGTGACATTAAAATCGATGTGTGTAAAGACGAAAGAGATGTCATTGCCTGCACACTGATTAAAAAAATTGCTTATTACAAATGCTTTCAGAGGTAAATAATCAAATACATGTTTCGATGACGAAAATATGCGGACTTGTGATAACATTGGTCTGATCGAGGAACACTTTCGATGACCAACAATGGAAAGTAAAATAACAAATCTATTGTTAATCATACACTAGTGGAGCAAACATTGTTGTTTATTGAGAGTATACTATTGAAGCTTTGCATCTAACGAAATTAAAGAAGTCTATGTGTAAAGATAAAAATACAAAGTATTTCTTTTTTGTTATTGCAGGATGGCAATTAAACTTAATCAAAAAACTTAATGTTGGTTGAAGAACACAAGTCAATGATTTCGTACTTTTAGCCAATTTCTCTGTCCTTGATTTGATTGATTCTAATTAAATATTGTCACTCAAGAAACCACAGTTTACGACAGAGAGTACGAATAAAGAACATTAACATACTTGCAGTATTTAAAATATGAACTGAAATGAATTTCTTTATTTAAGGTTAACGTGTTGCAATCATTTGTAGTTTGTATCAAAGAATAGTATTGTTTATTTTTGCATTCGTATTAGATCTTTTGACTAATATAACGCTAAATAAAGAATATAAATGATTGTTTATTTCCGAAAGCGATACTGATTGGATTGTTTACTTCTTTATTCGGGAAGCATTCGATTGAATTATAATATTAAAAATGATCAAAGTCTTCCTTTTTTTAAGAATTTCTTATTTACTTGAATTTTTCGAACTAATCCATCGGTGGTCTTTTGTGTCATCAATGAGTAGTGCCAGAGCGAAGGGAGCTGAGCTCCATGGAATTTTTTAGGCTTTACAGAGAACAGATCATCTTTCATGATGATATTGCAACAAACCGTTTTCTGAAGTAGTGCAGAGATTTTCGTGCAGTTTTTTAATATTTGTTAACTGGAACCATATGAAAAAGCTCTCTTCGTGCTGTTAAATTGGAATCTTTAGAAACACATCTTGGCAAAAATGGGACAATAGAATCCTTTTTTCTTTCTTCTAACAAAAACTACATCATGATGAATAAAAAATAGAATTGAACGTGATCATTTCATCTTCATCATCATCTGAATTTCAAAGTCTTCCGTCACTTTTTGCGTCCTCTGGTGATCAAGCTGCATGTGATCTTGTTTCTGACACTTCATCATCTTCTCTCAGAGGCTTTATTACTTTGAATGAAAGTTTTGAAACAAAATCTGTTTCAAATAATAGGATTTGGTGAAATCTGCGAAAAGATCGCAGTTTTCATCAAGTCCTGCACAAATCTTAGAACTTTTTTAAAGTTTGACGAAATCTAATACGAATATCAAGCCGAGCGAATAAAACTGATTATCATCAACACAAAGATTTGATTGGATTGAGCAGATTTTTACACCGAAAATTTACAATCTTGGTATCAGATACGCAAGATTTAGTGCATATCTAAATATGATATGGAATACTCTTCACAAAATGACGCATACCATTGTTATCCACTGTCGTCATTTTCCTTGTAATAAATAAAATGTTGATGATGTTTTTAATATTTCAAGATTTAATAACTGGAAGAAAACTTTGAACTCAGGATGCAATTTGATAGAAAAAAAAAGTATTATGTCGATCACATATGACTGCAACAAAGAATTATTCATCATATAAACAACGATAATAAAATAATTAAAATTTTATTAATAAATTGCATTCTGATCATAACAGTCTCAACAAGTCAAAAACTTCCACTATCTCTTTTGACATTTTGAGAGTTTAAGGCTGAGCCCTTCCTCCTGACGAAAATTCCTAACACCACCACTATCAATGAGACGTTCTTGTTTATCTTTAATATTTCTTAAGTGCGTCCAAAACCCATTGGCATTAATCGAAATAAACATACTTAAACAGAAAAAAATAAGCAAAGTTATAATTAAAATAAAATAAAATGATCAATTATGAAGTTTCGAATTCCATCGAACTATCTTTATTTAATATTTATCTATGTTTTTAAATACATGTGTATTGGAGTTGTTCTTATTCGGTATAAAATAAATACTTACAGAATTCATAAACAATCTAAATGACTTCAAAAGTATTTATTCAATTAGATTTCGAATTGATGCTAGATACCCCGAGATTGTAGGTGTAAATCTTCTCCTTACGAACACACATCCATTCTAATGAGCGTCAAAATACGTTTTATGCTAATGATCGTTCCCTATTATAAAATTCCCAGATCCACTACTGCTTTGTGAAAAATCTAATTACTACTTTTATAATGATCATATCATCAAAGAATGCTATTTTTTTATAAATAATAGAAGGAAAAAAAGTAAGAACAGAAATAAAATAAATGAATTCCATTAGAATTGTCGTTGATAGTTGTTCAAAAAAGAATATTTATTAACTGTCGTATTATAAAGGTCTCTATCGGTTAAAATTCTTCAAGATTTACAATAAACAAAAGAATTCATGTTCTTCATTATAGGTGTCGTTTCTAAGCGACGGCGTGATCAGAAGATTAATGTTAAAAACAATATTTGTAATCATTTTCAATAATGTCTTCCACTACTTCCAAACAAATTCATGTTGAAACTGAATATAATACATTTGATTTAAATGGATATACATGTGAATTGTCGGCAAATGCATTTGTTCCACCAACAAGACGAACACAACCAAAAGAGAGAAATTATTTTAATTCACAAAAAGAAGTAACTATATTTATATTATCAATAAAATTTAAGACAAAAAAACAAAAACATTTGTTTATATTAGACAAAACCATCGTCAATTTATGATCAAATTTTTCAAATAAAATATGATTTTAATCCCAAAGCACATCGTGATGATCGACAACATTCAAAATTTATTGGATTAAATCAATCAAAAGAAGTTTGATTTATTGATTTTAATTCATTTTTAAATAAATATATATTTTTATTATATAGGAAGAAGAAAAATCGTATCCAACTCGATCATCATCAGAATATGGTCGTAGACATAATCAACCACTTGATATCAATGATCGATCACATGTTCGCATAGCACATGTTAAAAATGAATTCTATCGAAATAATGGTGTTGATCAAAAACCTATTCAATTGTAATAAAGTTTCTTTTTAAAATATTATTTCATATAGAAATAAAGAAATTAGAATTCTTCCGGCTTGAGAATTCATTATGAATATCGAATATTATTACAGATGATTTTTACTTGTTAGAATTTGAAATGAACGATACTAGTCAAAATAGAACAGATCGGTCGATTGATCAATCATCGATACTGATTTGATCGTTGTTTTTCTATGCACTTATATAAGAACAATGCAGTCGAATTTGTCGATTTTATGATTTTTAGCTCGTTAGATATAGCAAAGTGTCTACTTTCGAATACACTATAGTTTATTGGTTTTACGATCAGAGTTAAAGATATTACATAGGTTTTTCTAAAACTTCTACAGAAGGAAATAACGGTTTTTTCTCAAAATAGACTTTTTTGATTTTTACGTTTCCGTGCGTCCCAAATTTTTCCGCCATTTTAAATATTAGAAAATTCGGACTATATTTTAAAACTAGCCCGAATTTTCTAGCATTTGAAACGGCGGAAAAATTTGAGACGTACAATAAACCTAAATTTTGACTCATAATCTTAAGCTAATTCTTCGTAGACTCAATCTATCGAGCTGAAATTTTTACTGTGAAGTGTCTAGCTTGAGATACACCTTCACCGAAAATTTCATCAAGATTGGATGCTCGAAAATCATTTTTGAGAAGCACTTTAAATGATACGATCAGATCTTACATATGCAAAATAAATGGGTCGACAATGATCGAATGATTATGTCATTTAAAAGTCTATGATACAGTATCGCATAATGATAATTTTTTCTGTCAATTATTTACAGTATCCACTATTGATCGATTCGAATATGGTCTATCTTATAAACCAGCCACAAGGAAGCTGCGGGTCCACATTTTTGTGGATCCGAACCCGGTTGGATCCAAATCTGAGGTTTTTTCCATCAATACCTGGCACCCTTCGTGTACATGAACAAGTGAAGGATCAAAGTTTCAGCTATTTATTCGCTATTCTCAGAAAAAAAATTCAACGTACAGTTATATCTTGTTGTTGTATTTCTCATCTGGGGAGCAGTGGGTCCACAAAAATATGTAACCATGCTCAACAAAAAATAAAAGTTTGGATCCGGATCCGGGTCTAGAAGAACTCGCAGTTTCCTACCAGCCGTGTATGAACCACAAATCAATATAGTTCAGTTCGGAACTAAATAAATCAGTATAATTTCAATCTATACTTCGATATGTAAAGGAAAAAAGGTACATGTCATAAATAACAATCAAAGTTTTCATTCATTTTCTTGTTTTCTTTTTTCCGTCGAAGAAAAAGTATTTATGCAATATGATCAATTAAGTCAAATTCAGTATAATGTGTAATAAATTGTTTCGACCTATAATAAAACACTGGAATATCCTATTAGTCAGAAAATCTTGATAGTATGAAGAATTTCGAAAAGGACTTATCAATGTTTCAAAATATTCATGAATCAATAATTTTAGTTTAGGTCTTAATTGATTTTTCAGATCAAAATTTTGAAAACTATGAATATTTTCCATTAAATATATTGATTAAAGTTACTATTTCTTAACTAATTAAATAATTAAGAAGAGTCTTCTCTTATATCTGTAACATCACACCTTCAAACCTGCAATTTCTATTGTGAATTTCATTCATTATGTGTCATCAAGTCCTCACATATTCCTATTTGTTTATTATTCAGCATTAGTTCGAATAAAGTCTTGTGAAAATTAGTAATGCATTGTTTAGGTTGAGACGTTGTTACAACTATTTAAGACTAACGAGGGAACATATCCAACTATTGGATACCGTTCGACCTCATCTTTTGGTTGTAAGTAGGGTTCAGTGAGACTAAAAAATTCTTAGAGTTCATGCGTGGAAGAAGATCTCATTTCCACATAGATGTAAGACAATGAAATGTTTGGTATGAGTGTCGGTGAAAAGAAGACAAGCACACTCGCACCTGCATTCACATCCTTGTTTTTGACTGAATATGAGACAACCTCATCGTATCAAACGAAAGTTCTATGTTCAAAATTTAAGTCTTCACCTTCTCGGAGTAAAGAAAAACAAATTTATATTCTTACACCTATGTGGCAATGAGATCTTCTTCCACACACAAAATCTTTTAGGATTTTCTTAGTCTCACTGAGCCTATCTACAACCAAAAGATGAGGTCGAACGGCATCCAACAGCTGGATATGTTCCCTCGTAAGTTTATGTCTAATTGAATTTAACTTCAAAACTTAATTGAAGATTCTCGCCATATGAAACTTGTCTGCATAGTAGTTTTTTTTTCATATTCTTCATGACATTGAACAAAACGATTATATTTTAGAATAAAACAAGAACTGTGTGATTTTTTTTAATCATTAATCATTCCTAAATTCTTCATAAATATCAGAGATAAGATTGTTTCGTACTTTGTTTTTTTTAAAACCGAATCGATTTGATCTTATTTCTACAGTCAATATTCATGGTATCTTGAAAGAAATATTGAAAATAAAGATGTTTATTAAACTAACAATGATTTTATTCAACTACGGATAACTTGATACTTGTTCTACTAAAGACCAGAGTACGACATGTCATTGTCTATTGCAACACTTGTCCAAAAATAAGATATATTTCCTGTATAATACATATTTTAACTAGACGTTAGACAAATAAACCATCTTGTAAAACGTTTAGAAGTTTTTACAATAAATGAAGAATTCGTCGCTGCCATAGACCTACTGAGTACGTTGACCATTCCTCTTTTTCAACGGTTCACTGATGGTCACAAGCTAAGATTTTTCAAAAAATATACGGGTAATAAAAATAGTAATATTTGAAAACAAAATAATATCCAATTGTAAAGTATATATATTTATTATTATTATATAGTTAGTTATAATATTGATCTAATTGTTCAAGGTTCTTTTTTTGTTTTTTACAGATTTAAAGCTCAAGAAGTAAATGAAATTTCTTGTCAGTATTTTAAGACGAAACTGCTATTTCTTTTACTAGTTTAGTTGTATCAATATTTATTTCTTGATGTATTGAATATAATATCAATCTAATGAAATTGAATACTTTCAATCAGTATAAATGAAAAAAAACTAATTCATTATTTGTGCAATGATTTTCTTTTAAATTTAACAAGTAATGATATTTGCAATGAAAAAATATTTATTTAAGTAGGTAGATAATATATGAATACTCAATTCAATCATTAGTTTTTCATTTTTAATAGACAAAGAAGATACTTACGAACATCTACAAAAACAAAACAAAAAGACGATGATAACTATCATTATATTTCTTTCTCTTACAATTTCGATAACAACAGCTCAACAAGCATCTAATCCTTGTACGAGAACTAGTGAATGTGGTCAAGGAATATGTGATACAAATAGAACAACTCCTATATGTATATGTAATCGTGGTTGGACATATTCACGTGATGGATTTGAACGATGTACTTATCAACTAAAATCGAAATTAGCAGCATTTCTTCTTTCATTTTTTGCTGGTGGTTTAGGTGCTGATTGGTTTTATTTAAGTGTTGGTAATAGTGGTTATATTGCAGCTGGAGTTTTTAAATTATTATCACTCGGTGGTCTTGGTATATGGTGGCTTGTTGATTGGATTAGAGTTTTAACTAATTCATTTTTTGATGGACAAGGAATGGCTTTACTTGAATGGGCACCATGAATAGCAAAATAAAGACAAGACTTTTTTTTCTCGTCTCTATCGTTTCCTTCTTTTTTTTTTAAAAATATATATTGTATAGCATATGTTTCGTATTTTAAACAAGGTCGTTACTTGTCTTAGAAACAAAAAAAAAAAAAAAAAAAAGAATTGATTGAAACAGTTGTTCTAATGAGTACTATTTGTCAGAATGGAATGAAAACGGTGAACATTACATAATAGAAAGAAAAAAAAATGAAGATCATCATCATCTTTTCAATTTTATCTACTGTTCAAGGTAATTTAAAGAATTTATTTGAGAATCAAAAAAAAGAAATATAAATATTAATCTTATTCAGGCTTGAATATTGATAATGGATTAATATCAAATGAAAATTCATCAATAACAAATGATTTAAATTTGGTAACTCAATCGATAAATGAAAGTGATAGAACAATTTTTTTACAAACATCAAATGATCTTTTAACAAGTCGATTCGATATTGATGAAATTAATTATCCAACTATTATTCCTGAAAATATTTCATCTGATATAACATTCGAAAGTCAAACATGGCCATCATTATTTGTTCATGATAATTCATCATTATCTACATTTTTACCTACGACTGATTTTGATTATACAACATCATTAGAACAAATCAAAATAACAATTGAACAACAATGGTTTAATATTAATCAAAGTCATCTACGAGATCCTTATAGATCTGTTCTATATTGGAAATATGCAAGCGGTATTTGAATTTAATTTATTTTTGAAATGTTTATCTATGAAAATAAAATAGATTCTGCATGGCATGATGCAACATATATTCTAACATCTAAACCTCAATGTATTCGTCAAATGTGTTCTGTTATATTAAAATATAATGGTACATCATCAAATCTTACTAATGGTTGTCTTTCATTTACTCTTCGAACACGTGGTCATCCAGGTTAAAATAAATAAAACATAGATTTTTTTCAATATACAAAAAATATTTTATTTAAGTGGGTCAATTATGGATCATAGAAGATCATCAAAAAGAAAATACTTCACAAAAAATTCAATTAACAAATAAAACTTTACATGTTGAACATACATTAAAATCAAAAATAAAAAATGTAAGAAAATAATTATATATTTATTTGTTTTTGTTTGTTTTTTTTGTGTAAAATTTTAGTTATCAATTGAAACACGAATTTTATTTCATAATCCAAAACTAGATACTCTTATCTTATCAAATTTAAATATTAATTGGAAAGGATCTTGTCCAAAACAACCTTCAAGTAAATATTTAATAATAAAACTAATTAAATATATATAGAAATATAATCTAGTTCCAACACTTTCTCCTGATATTATTGGACGTCGATCAACATTAGAAGATGATTTTATGACATTAACTAGTCAAGATTCTAATTATTCGAGTACATTAATAACTAGTGAAGAATTTACAAATAGCCAACAAAGTTTAATATATGAATCAACAACTATCACATTCGATCAAGAAACAATCACTAAATCTTCGTTTTCTTTAGTTAATCAAAAAAATATTGGATGGTTTTTATCATTAATAGCACTTTTTTGTTTCTTTATTGTTCTATGTACAATTGGACATAGTTTATGGTTAATAAGACGACAACGTTATTTTACTTGGCATGTTACTTTTGATTCACAAATTCGTTTACTTGCTCGACGATCAATACGTTCATCAACAAGATCAGAAACTAAAATAGCTACTGTTTCTCAAATAGCTTATGATATTCTTAATGATGATGCACAAAAAGAACATACAACAGAAACTCCAACAACGAATAGTAATCGATCAACACCAATATCATATTATACTTATCTCTAATTTTTTTAATTATTTCGATTATATTAAAAGAAATATAGATTTTTTTAGAATCGAATATAATAGATAAAAAATATTTATAGAAACAAAAAACAAAAAAAAGATTTCTATCGAAAATGTTCGCTGGTGGTACCAAGAGCGGACAGAAAGTATTTCCACAAATGGAAGACACGTATGATCCCACGAAATAATGTTTTGGGGTCAGTCAAAATTGAGAAGACATAATGTAAATTTTTTCTGGCAGTTATAAGCAAAAATGTTGTCGTTTCGACTGACTTTTACATAAAAGTCAAACTTTGAGACAAGTTCAAAAATTTATACAGAACTCAAACCATTTGCTTTGTAGCAAACATTAGTGAAGATATTAAATCTTACCTTGTGTCTCTTTATAGCGGAAACGTTTTCACATTGACCTCAAACAAAATTTCTGAGTCTGTTTCACTGCCAAAGACGACCAGTTTATTTACGTTTGGAGATTCTAGATATTTGATAAGTCGTGATGTCATTTCTACCTTTGTCCCAGTATTTTGAAAATCTTTTCAAATTCATTAATTACTGACAATGGTGGTAAAACTCGCGCGTCTACTTGAGAAATTCGAAGAATGATTCTGAATTAGATTGTCAGAAAAATTCCAAATATTTTTAAAATCTCGACTTTTCGCAGAAACTAACCAAGTTTTTTGATAATTTCAATCGCTATTTCGTTGGTGAAATAGTCTCATTACATAGAATCTTCACAAAATTGAAGAAATGTTTAGTGCAAACTTTCCGAAATGAAAAGTACAAATAGTCTATAAATTCTCGTGATATGGAGAAAATAAAACTTTGATAGTTTATCCAGAATGTGAGAGAATGATGCAGCCTAAATCTCTACGATTTGCTAGAAGATATAGTCCTAATTTCCTCAAACTCGGAGAAAGTTTATCCGAAATTTTATTCAAAATCAGAGAAAGCTACCGTCGAAATTTTTAGAAGCAGAAAAAGGTATCCTCCCCTACACTAACATAGTATCATACTCCAAGTCTGTAGGTAAAGCTATTTAGTAGTATTAATGAGAACACTATTTTCATTATTGATAGTTAAATTAATTGACAAATATGGATCCGTTGAAAAATTTCCCTTTCTTGAAATTCATTTCTTTGTTCCCTTTTCTGAAAGAAAGGGTTATACAATGTTTAAATCCTGGGCTTCAAATGCATAAAGTTTGTCTGTTCAAGCCAATCAGAAATTAGGATGAAATAAACCAATGAAAACTCATCGTATTTTGTTTAACACCACCCTTCTCATTCACCTCTCTTCGATTGACAGCCCAAATTTGATCATTTTGGAAATTGTAAGCTTCATCAATGTCGAACATTTTTTCGTCAGAAAACAAAATTCTTAATGTTTTCTCCTTTCCAAAAATTCGTTCGTATCCAGTTCGCAAACTTTTTTCTTTTTATTTTATGCTCTTCGTTGAGTGCTAGTTCGATCAAATATTTATAGGATCGATAGCCAAGATCATCTCGAAAAATTCATTGAACACTTATTCGAGATATACCTAATTCAAGCGTAAGTTTTCGACTTGACACTTTACTTTTTTCTACCTTTTGTTTAACCTTGTTAATTGCAGCTTTCATTCGTATTGTACGTGGATGATCTGGTGGTGATGTCAGATTGATAGAACTAGTTACATTTATCATTTTACACCATCTTTTAATAGTGTTTAGACCAAATGTATCGTTTAAATCACGAAATATTTTTGTCGGATAGTCACCATTCTCATATTTTGAAAAAAACTACTTTTTGTAAATCTTTGTTCTTCATAATCAAAATTAGGTTCTTGAAGAAAATGTAAAGAAAAAAATTTAATGTTAGTATCGAGACAATTTTTCATCTTTTATCGACAAAGATCATTGGTCATCTAATAGCCCTAATCTTAATCCATTGGATTACTGTACTTAGGATGAATTTGTGAAGGTCATCGATTGGAATAGAGTGACATCTAAAACAACAATGATCCAAGAATTAAAACATCCAGTAAAAAATATTCGTCAAAATGTTGTCTTTGAAAGTTGTAGTTCTTGGACTAATCGATTGTATCGTTTGTCATAAAACAATGGAGATTATTTAAGATAATAAAAAGATCTACATTTTGTAGAGAATTTCACGAGGAATATTTTTCTAAAATAACTTTTTGTTCTACACTGAAGTATCAGAGAAATAGATGCAGAATACTGAGAAGTCACTTTATTATGCGCCACTCCTTATATCCCGAAGACAGAATAGAGTTTAAAATACAGAAGTGCCATTATGACTGTTGTCTCATTTTTATCAGTTTTGTACGTTATTTACTTTTGAAACGGAATTTTATAATCAATAGCTCATAAGTCTTACTACAAATAATATCAAGACGGGTTTTGAATACCATTCTTCTTGTGTTTCTCGGCAGAGTTATTAAAAATGGCCATTCCATTGGCCATTGGAGAGTAAAGGGTTAAAATAGCAATGTTAATTCCATATATTATAATTATAGTGTCTCAACTGTAGTTAATCATTATAGATTCCAGGCTCTTTTTTTTTAATATTCATATTAACTTATTGATTGTCTACAGATATCCGCAAACGACGCACATTTGATCAGTTTTTTTTATTATACTATTAATTGAGTAATTTGTTTTATTTTATCTATTGAATAGATTATTTAATCGAAGTCATTTATACTTTACATATACAGATGATACATTCAGAAAAGAAAAACATTTATTTATTTTTTTAAATGTAATTTATAACAAAAGAAAAACTATTAATATAAATAACGATTTGTCGTTTGAATAGTTTTATTTTGTTTCAAGATCACCAGCATCTTCATCATTTTCTTCATCACCTTCAGCATCAATAACTGCTTCTTGATATTGTTGATATTCACTAACAAGATCATTCATATTTGATTCAGCTTCAGTAAATTCCTATAGTCAAAAGTAAATTCTTGATAACAAAAAAAAACAAAGAACAAACAATTTCATCCATTCCTTCACCAGTATACCAATGAAGAAAAGCTTTTCGACGAAACATAGCTGTAAATTGTTCAGCAACACGTTTCCATAAATCAATCATAGCAGTTGTATTTGCTAAAGAAAAACAAAAAAAAAATGAAATAATTAACAAGTAAATAGAAAAAAAGTG